TAATTTGCGACTCGGCGTTCTGGGACAATCAGCGCTGCGAGCGAAAAAGTAGTATAGGAGCTGATCAGCGCTCGGAACGCTGCTTTCTTCAAAACGCTGATTCTTTCACGAGGATAGGTCGATGCCTACACATTCCTTTTCGCTCGAAACGTTGATCCGCTTGAAACGCTGCTTCTCCTGAAACGCAAGTAGCCAAGTATGAGGAGCAATCGCCTACTGAAGTATTTGTGACCAAAAGAGAGCTTTTAGAATTGGATACCCGAAGGCACTCGAAAGATGACCACACCAAAAGAAATATCCACAGGCACAGTTAGGCGCCATAGAAATTGGGGGGAAGGGTTTTCAGCAAAGCTTGTACAAGCCACCTCGTGAAAACCTGCAAACCCTTGTAAGGAAATCGGCTCACTTTTATCACTTCGACGCTCCACAGGTTTACAAGTATCACCAAATAAAATCTGTAGTATAAATGAATTAGCAAAAGGAACTAACAGATGTCCAAAATGCTCCTAAACCCCCTCCCTCCACCTCCTAAGCCGAACAGCGCCCCAGAACTTCCACTTACGGCGATATATGATTGAGTGCAGTTGTCATCCGAGGACCAAATCGAAGATACTTTCTCGTCACACTTATAACTCTTTGATTCCGCAGTAAAATCACACTGAGCGTAGCGATGCAGCAGAACTGAAGTATAAACATCGAAAGAGCATAAATGAAAACATAAGATCAGAATCATTTTTGAACTCACTTACCAAAATTAAGAGTCCAAGGATTATCCATCCCCATGAAATATTGTCATCTTCAATCAATGCAACTGGCTAAAAGTAATCAATTAATTAATAATATTTTCACGTTCTACACACCGATCTTGCATTTCTGATTCTGTGAATTCTTGCCTGTTTGGCACTACCTGCAGTAAGATTACAATAAGTGGTAAAGGTACGAAAAATATTCTATGACCGCAACAATACCAGATCGTCAGACAAGTCTCGCTTTTCTTATTAAAAAAGATTAACAATACTGAGAGAAGGATAAACCAAAAGTTCTTGCTAGAGAGATACAGTCTCACTCACTGCGGGTGCTGGGGTGCGTCATAGGGGGGAGGGGTGGCGCAACCCGTCCTCCACCAATTATGAAAGGAGGCAAGCGACCAAATTGGTGGAAAACGAGCTGGCGCTGCATTAAAGCTAAATGCCCTAAGACGTATGATAGAACGAGACCGAAAAGCCATGTAACGCAAAAAAAATCGCTTGCGCAATCAGCTGCGATTCTAAACGCATTTCGATGCATATGCTTCTGTACTTTTCTTCCCGCTTTTATGCTTACCAGTCTGGCTGACGCGCATTTCTGCGCGCATGGTTAAACCTACGTTACTGATAACTTAGGATTTCTGTGCTGAGCACTAACACTTAGCCTAATTCCTATGTTTCCAAAACGGCCCATTTCATCATGTTTCTCCCTTTTAATGAACACTTGCCAATGTTAGGCTCTTATCATATTTCTAAAAGCACCATTCGTTGGAAATAGGACAGCATAGCGGTTGGAAGGATTCCGATGGTAAAAATATCGAAATCATAGTGGCTCTTATCATTCCTCACTGGCCAACTCCAAACATCCTGTTTTCGGGAACTCGAGCGTTTAGCGGTGGAAGCAATTCCGACCGCTAAACTGAGGGATTTTGCTAAGGGGAAACATCTTGACTCACTAAGCCTTCGCCCATTGATTCTTTGGCTACGGTGATGTGAGCAAATAAGAGGCCCTTGCCGGAACTGTCAAAATTTGTTGCCCACCTTTAATGTTCCCTAAGCACCTCTGAATTAGGAGCAGTTCCCAGTGTTGCTACAACTCTGCTGTGAATTTTCCTGGCTATCTTATCAGCTGTTATCAATTCCTGCCACCCGCCAATAATGTTCCCACCCTGCCCCTGTCTTACTTCTTGGAACCAACGTCCCGTCGTGGCTGTAGCGCACGTTATGGAGTTGGTGACCCTCGATTTCTAAGTGGTGTCTTACCAGCTGTTACCCATTCCTGCCACCCACCAATAATGTTCCCATCCTGCCCCCTATCTTACTTCTTGGAATCAAAGTCCTAGCGTTGCTGTGACGCGCGTTATGGAGTTGGTGACCCTCGCTTTCTAAGACCCCTATGGTATCTTATCAGCTCTTATCACTTCCTGCCGCTCACCATAGTGATCCTGCCCGACTCCTACTAGATCCTCATAAGTTTGAATACTTTTGCGCTGAGCAGTCAAATGGAGTTGTGAATTTCCGGTCAAACACACATAGCGACACCAACAACATCCCTTTCACCCCCACGCGCACACCACTACACATCACACAATACACCACCCAACAGACACTTGCCGCATCTATATTATGGTAGATCTGTTCTTGAGCATTCACGAGCGGATATCAGGTGTTCGTCCCGCTGGGATAAGGCGGGCGGAACGGGGCGTAAGAGCGCAGCTGCGATTGGCGTGTTATGGTGGAAAATTACTCACATGAATGATATAATACAACCAACCTTTTCGTTCGCTAAAAGAAAAAAGAGGGAAAAAAAAGCTGGTTAACGCCCGCGCCAAACGCGTTGCTAGGCTCCATCATCCGCAGCGAACGCGACTACAGACCCAAGAAATTTTGTTTTGAATCCTGTACTCCACTTTTCACTGTCTGCATGGTACCTTTTCAACCACCCTCTCAGAATCCCGCTGCCTGCTGAATGTCCACCTCCCACTCATTCCCCACGATGTAATCATGTGCTTAGAAAAAGAAGCTTATTTCAGTAGCAGCGGTAGTGTAGGCGTAGAAGCAAGCATACATCATTCATAGTTGATTTTGCTAATCACTGGCAAAAGAAGATTAGCCGTTCATAGACACAACAAGATAAAACCAGAGCGAAAAACGCTGTTGTCAAAAGATTTCTCATGAAAATCGTCTTATCTTGAAATCTGACTTCTAGCCATATTTTTGCAAAAGATGTCTTTCTTAACATATAAGCCTCAGTAGCTCAGAAGAAAATTCCTTCTAAACAAGCTTAGTTCTAACAATTCCGTGGAAAATCACATTGATAACATTTCCAGCATCAAAGTCTTCTAAGGAATGAGTAAAAGCTTTTCAAATCCATTCACGGCCTACGACTGAGATTATCCTTCAACATAATGAGTTCCCTAAGGAACGCATGGATTTCTTTCAATTTCCAATCAAAGGGCATGGTGTGTCGATCCGTCGAACATCTCATGCTCAGCACAGGTAAATTATACCAAGCCAAAGGCAAACGAACAACCGTTGCAATGGTAAAATACTTACTTCCATGGTGATTTCTTCGTCACAAAAGGAATAATCGCAACAAGACATATGATATTTTGGATGGGGAAGACAGAATATTGGAATTGGATATATCTCTTTGAGATCCACACATCTGGAAGAACATTTCGTCACAATTGAAGCCAAGTCTACGCTGCAGGCAAGCCACTTGGCTCTCATTTCTATCCCCTTATCATCTCTAACCGGCAGCTCATCCTCGCAAGATGAGCTTTATGCATATAGCACAAAGTCACGCAGGAGAGAGTCTTGCAAACCCTTGAAGAAGAGGAAGCAGTTAGCAGCCACTCACCCTACAGACATCCGATAGCTGTGGTGCTCATCGAACACTTTGAAGCAACGGCCACGCTTTGCCCTACATATCCCCTGAAAGGGAAACGAGACCGCGGTGAAAAGAAGCTAATTTACAAACCGATGGCTTACTTTATAACCATTTCCAAGTAAATGGACTAGCTCAGTATCACATAAGGGACCATTGCAGTTGCAGATAAGATCCGATTCGTGAACTTCCTCGCCGGGACCTGCAACAGCACAGCACGTGAAAACGGTCTCTGGGCAGAAAAAAAAGAAAGGTAAACACAAAAATGCAGACTTCTGGGCAACAGTTTGAACAAGGGACTCGAACCCTATCTTGCTTAGGCCAGTGCGCTATCCATCACGCAACAACAGCACCCCTTCAAAAAGACGAACACTTACTGCATTCAACCATTTGCCTGACTACTGTAATACAATGCATTATGCTAAACCTTTTCAAGTCTTTTTTAATCATGATTGACGCCCAACATAATCATGATAGGTGTCCTGCTGTTAGGATTCAGGGATACTGTAACCTCCAGCAGACTCATATGAAGCTATCAAATGAGATTAGTCTCATTCGAGTCTTGCTAGACTAGGCTTCGCGGCAGCATTTTCAGCGTCCTCAGCAACTTTAGCGTTTGAGCGCCAGCCGTTGAGCACACCTGCGCCTTGAGCTTCTCTAGCGTTTCGAGCCTCACCTGCGCTTCGAGCATCAAAGCGTTTTCAGCGATAACTGATATTTATTTCACTCAAAAAACTCAAAACGCTAGTGCACGTCCAAATGCTGATGCTAAAAACGCTTCAAAGTTTTCCCCACGCGTGTAGAAGTCCTTCAAACTTTTCGATAGGAAAATGTTGCAAGAACCTACGAGAAATCACATGTACACTGAAAGGAAACTCCGACAATTCCAAGGACGAAGGGGGATGATTATTTAATTATAACCTCCATAATTACCGCAATCTGAAGGTCGACAGCAACACAACCGTTGGAATTTCCAATGAGGGTAGTGTTCTTCATAGATAATATTGAATAGTGTAAACGAGGTGGAAATTTTTCCTCATCTTGTTAACACCTACTTACCCCTCACAAGATGGAAGAGAAAAAGCGTCAGGGGATAAGAGGAGAGTCCTATAGACCTATAAGCCCCGTAACCATGTCGGATCAGTCCCTCCGAAGGTTAATAGGAGCTAGGGCTATATAAGAAGCCGCAAGGGATACTGTGCCCTCAGCAAATCTATAGCAAATCCGAATTAGTATCCAATACCATTAGAGAAAGCAAAAGGGGGAATCGCAGAAGCGTGATATCCTAAACGACTTCACCCATGCTGTCGGAATGTGCAATAAAATTCTGGGCTCGAAATGACTTCAAGTGTAAATCAAAATATAATATTCTCACCAAAAATGTGTGTTTGCATCTCTTGCAGAATTACATTTCCACGTGCTATCCGCCATGTAACTGATGAATTAAATGGGCTTGCCGTAGTGATGATTACTGTATTTTCATGATAATTCGAGATATTGCTCTCCAGTTCACTCGAATTGAATGTGAAGAAGTCTTGTGCGTTGATGAACGTCAGAGACCCTGAAGATGCGGTATCAGTGTTCGGGCTCGAGTACTATTGGATCACAATGGCCTATAAGGACGATATCTTGTTAAGCAAAGCAAAAAGAAATGAAATAAAAAATAAAAAACTTCACCTTTTTGAACCACTCAACATAAAGGGAATAGAAAGAAAATGACGTGGTGGTCCTGCTCCAATTCCCAGCGATGCAGTGGGCGTGGCTGCGTACATCACTTGGATATGATGTAGGCAGAACCCGGTTTTTGTAGTTATTCCATTATGAACAAACTGCTATCCGTGTCTTGTGCACAAATAAAGCGACTACAGTTTCCCGAAACGACAATATCCCACCAGAAGCATAGCCGCCACCACTAGGTGACCGACGTAGCCACGCCTTCTCCATTTGTGTACGAGGCGCGCTTCAGACTTCGCGATCGGCATCGCTCGGATCGCCGCAATCGATTCGCGCTGCTGAGAGGTGAAATTAGTGCGCGGAATGGATTATGTGCGTATATGTTTATTGATCATGTTCTCTTTCTTTTCCTTCCTTCTTCATTTGTGTTCATGACGCCTTCCTAATTTTAAAGGGAATGTTCCCAAATATCTACGAATCAGCATCCACGACATTGTACATTGCGAACCTGAAAACAAAATTGAGAGGGAGTACAAAAAAAAACACAACTCAAAGATATTTGGGAGCATTCCTTAAAATTAGGAGGGCGTTATGTACACAAAGGAAGAAAGAAGGAAAAGAGAGAGAGCAGGATCAATAAACATATACGCACATAACCCCCTCCCGCAGTAATTTCACCCTCAGTAGCGCGATCGGATCGCGCGATCGCGAAGTCTGAACGCGCTCTAAGGATATCGTGTGATCTGGCAAGGCTACGATTCCATAGTAGTACTATAGCGACCAAAGTTGAAGCAAATAATCGTTCCCCGTTTAGTACTCGATTAACTTACGGTAAAATAGAGTGATAATCAATTAGTGATACAATAACCTAATAGGAAATATGACTTCATGTTCGGTGACCAGTTCCAGTACAAATACAGTGGTCGATGAAACAGTAAAATCCGCTGTTCACTGAAATTTTAATTATGGTCAATAGAATTCGAAGATAGTATGGAAAAAACAAATCGGGATCCGAACAACAAAAAAGCAAGCGCTTTGAAAGTGTGCTGACCAGCTACAGACTGTATCAGCGTCGCGCTCATACCTTGCGGACTTGAGGGGATCAGTGATTCGTGGGCAATCAGGCCGACTCATGGTTGGGCGATTGCCGCACCAATAGAATGGAGTGCGGCTACGACCGGCGGCCGCACTTCGGGCGCCGGATAGCGCAATGCCCAGATCGATACCGTATACTTTCCCCCATCCTTCCTCAATCTCTCAAATAGCCGAACCGTCAGGTCGCCAAAGTTATGAACCGGCCTTATACAGCCAATGTCCAACCGCGCTTTTTTTATAAGCCTTTGGCCCAAACGTATCCTTCTCAGAAATGCTCTAGCGTCTCGCAAACAAAACTGAGGTGGGTGAACTAGTTTACAAACACCGTGCGATCCTCCCACCTAGCTCGCAGAGTCTCATCCGGGACTCTGGTTCATATTTGAGGAATATCTTCCTTACGGTATCAAAATCCCTGCTCTTCACAAAAACAGTATCGGTATAGTCTCTGTTTAACAAAAGCTGTGCTGTGGTTGTGAGAATCAGGGTGAACAAGAGGGATCACAGCAGACCTCAAGTGGTGCTCCAAGGTTTCTAATACACTGTTCGGATTGGGAGGGCCATTCTGCGCTTCTGCTAGTTTCGTTAAGTGTGAACGAAGCTCATGCTATGGCGCAGCTTTACAGGAATTTACAGGTCTCTACAGGAGGCATCGGGAATGATCAGTGACACCCAGCGAAATGCCCTCACCAAGCCAAACTGCGCCGGTTCACAGTGGCAGTAACCACGATTTCATGTTTCACACGGCTCCCTGGGATCTCTTGGAAAAACAGCAGCTTTCTTTTTTCTCCGACAAACTAATGTAGTGTAACTTATTCTTGAGCACTGGGAAATAGACCCCCTCTAAAACCATCCCTGTTTTACGGAAGAGGCTTATCGGTCTGTGAAAGAAAAAAGAAGAAGGAAGCAGGAGAGCTGCAGTACAAAGCCGCAATGCTTCGTACGAATCCGTGCAGCTATGCCGCCAGCCGAAGTTCCGACCGATGCCCCGCCCACCACTGCAACGAAGGCGCAGTTCGAACGGCTACAACCACCACCTGGGTGGTCTACACTGCTGACGTGTTGCCTTTTCGGGGGGTCAGTGTGAAATCGCGCATTTTTTTGCTAGTTATTGATCTAAATATTCCTGTAATTGTGTAATATTTCCCGCTGTGATTTTAGTGATAGCATCTATATTATGGAATCAACGATTGTTCAGATTACTTTGCGAGATCTAAGTCGGTGGTCGGCGCAGTTCGTCGCTGGGGAGGGATGAGGCGTTTTGCACTTTTGCTACGTCCCATCGACTTGTCAAGCCATCTAAAGAGCCTATGGAGATTACAAGAGTTCGCAGGCTTCAGCGTGTTGGGTCCACCTTCACAAGAGTTCACAGGTTTCACCGGAGTCATGTGAACCGGAACTAGTGGAGCAGCGAAGTGCAAAATGCTCCCCCCCCCCCGTCGTCGAACTGAGCCCATAGGAGTAGGTTGTTGTGTCCATGGATTTATGTTAGGGTGGAGTTCATGGTTTCCGACTTTTTAAAAAGCGTTTTGTCGATGTTATGTTGATGTCAGAAATCCCTGAGAAGTTGGTGTAATCCCATTCTTGAGCGATATCTCCACTAAAGTGCCCATTGAATAAATTCAATCATTCACCTGTGATCCTGCTGATCGCCGAGTTATTCGAGCACGTGCTACTAAAATCCTCCAGTCCCTGCAGCGCACCAGGGTTACCCAGTGGGTTCCTAGATTCTCTGTTGAAACAATAAATGGACATTTTCGGTATGGAAGTATATTAGAGCGTTTTTACTGTTGAATAGATCTTTTCTTTGGTCCTTCAAAGATCAGTAGATCTCAAAAAAAGCGTCAGCTGACTCTACCGGAATGGACTAGTGGGTGCAGTAGAGGCAAGCGTTTTCTGTGTAAAGTTCATCCGATTACAGTACTGCACAGGGAGTTTTCTAAAGCTACGATATGTTTCAAGCTTGGTCTCCATGCCTTTTCTTGACTTTTTTGGAATTCATTTTCTTCTGAGTGGTGGGTTTAAAACAGAGTAGCGAGCCGAGGGGAGGAGCTTTGCCTGTGCTAACGGGGGTAACTCGGCCGCGCCTCTATCCCCTGTACAAAATGAGGCCTACAGCCTAACGTAATTGACTTGGAGGAGGTTTTCCATCCAGGGTAGTTTCTCGGTGCAATGGTTCAGAGATATTTTCCCTTCGTGTCTTCCGGCCGAGCGTTTCAAAGGAGGGAAATAAGAAGAGGGTTAGGGGTAAAAAAGGAAGGAAAGTGAAAGGAAGATGAGGAAAAGAAGGCGGGTGGAAGGAAAATGGAAGCAGGTTACGGTTGATAGTAACCTGAGCACAACGTAGTTGAGCTGGATCACGAGGCTCTGCCCTTGTGTACCTTCAATCAAGGCTCTTAGAGCGCAGACTACCAGAACAGGGCGCATCATCTTTGGGGATTCCGGAACGGGGGAGTCGTATGGTCGCTGGTGGAGGGAGGATCATACATAGTCACAGAAAAATTTTTTTGATAGTTGGGTTTTTCTTCTTCCATGGAGAGCTATAAAGAGAGGGGGGAGGTCGTGTTTGTGTCGTATTACCCTCCCCCCTCTCAACAGCTAAATTTTCGGGAATTCGAAAAAAGTGGTAGAAAGCGACAGCTCAAAGCTCGACCGTATCAGTGGAGGGGACTAGGGGGGGGGGAGGGTCGTACGGACTCAACCCAACTCTCCATCTAATGATGTGCTCTTTACCAGAATCGCATGGAGACTGGCTGCCCTGCGAGAGTAGCGGGCGGCGACCCAGGCTTTCTGCGTTCTAGACTTAAAGGCAGTTGGCACGATAATTTGGTACATGCCCTAAAATGCTAGCAGGGCGCATATAGTGGGGAAAATGGCGAAAGAACGGAGTGAAACGGTCAAAATCCTGCGAAGAAAAACCTTTTCTTAGTGACTTAAAAATCAATTTCGGACGAGTTTCCCATAGGCATCTTGCCAATAACCGCTACCGAAGGTACGGCTGCATATGTGTACTCATATATCCATGCAGCACCGCCGCTTCATACCAATCCCTTCGCTTCATAATTTGCTTAGCAAATGAATCAATACGAGCGTCAGGAACGGTCGTCCATTTGTGGGGGCGGGCGTGGTGGGCGTTCGGGTCGGTATGTTGTAGCTTGATAGGGCCCTTATAAGGGTACCTTCCTTGGAAAAGGCGCTACGCATCGCCTGCTCAAAGTCGCGGAATCCGTCCTGCCAGGCGTATCAATCCTACTCGTCTTTAGGGATTTATCGTGCCAACTGCCTTTAAGCCTTGATTCAGGAAAGGAGCGCAGTGGTTCTATCTCGTGCTCCAGCTCAGCTAAGCTAGCACCAAATCAGTGCTTAGTTTAGCGGAGACTATACACTCATTTGCAGAGATGTTTGGATGTCTGATTGTCTTGTTGTCATGTTCAGGTGTTAAAACTACGAAGTATGCTTGGTAAGACTTGTGTTGTGTTTGACGTCAGAGCATTCGTAGTTTCTCACCTGAATAAACACGGAACTCCTCTTGTCTAGACACATTGTTTGTTGCCATAATTTCTATTCCTTGTATGTAATTATAACCTATTGTTTGTTGGATTAATGGGGCGGAAATTACATGATATTGTGTTCCCTATGCGTTTTCGGCGCTAACGGAGTCGGTGGGAGGGGGATAGGAAGGGAAGGGACCACTCGTTGGCGCCTCTGTATCTCTTCCTCTTATCAAAGCTTAGATTTGAAGGAGGCTATGTTTTCTCTGCAAGACTATCCTTTGGCGACTGTGGTCGTCTGCGCTCTAGGGCTGAGCCTTGAGATCGGGGGACATTTAGAAGACTCTTTGTCTGAGCTGAGTCGCGCCAACGTAACGTCATCGCGAAGGATACAGGCAGTCTGAGCGAGAGCTAACATCAGTGTGCCATATACAGGGGGGGGGCAAAAAAAGACTTTTCTTCCTTGACCTTCGAGGCGCTATAAGTTACACTTTATTAAATTCTTATCGGACATTTCTACCACCATATTAAAGAGCATATTAAATACTATCACGATACTCCGCCACAGCCTTCTGGAGGAGCGCCATCGAGAGATTCTGCCACGCGACCGTGAGTGGGTGCCTGAGTTCAGCGAGATCGTTGATTTCTCCGCCACTGTAGACCACCCTATTGAACTCCGCCCGAACCGGTAATTGAGGGGTTTAGGTCAGGTGACACACTTCAGATATTCCATCTTCTTCAGGTACTCAACGCCCTTCCATTCCAAGTAGGCAAGAGTTTTCCCAACGCCCTTTGATTCCATGTGGTGTCACCCAATCCTGTAGCAGTACAAAGTTTCCAAGAAGGTACGGGCGACGACATGTGGAGAGGATATTCTTCTCGAGTTGCTCGATGTAACCCGCAGCGCTCACGTCCTTCAATCCGGGGTACCGGAAGAAAAATATCGGTACTTTTCAATTCCAGGACGTCACAGGTCCGAATACCATGCAGCAGGCGATGAGGTGAAGAAATGATGTCCTAGACAGTAGCGAGTGTTGAGCGGAGCACTCCATGATGGAGGTCTAACCAGATCGCCGAGTCTGGTCACAGAAAAAACAGGTAAGACTATCCATGGGTGACTCCATACTACAGAAGTATTTCGCAGAAACTGATTTGGAATGTGGCAATCATTCAAACGGTCTTCTCCAGTCAGGCGCGAACTCACAGTTTGGGACTTCATAATTTAGGTGTAGGCATGAAGTTGCGTGGGGCAGAGCCACTCGCCGCTTATCCAAGAAACCTGCTTGGGTATCTCCGCCCTCAGTATCGTATCGCACGTCACCTCTAGTGCTGAGGACTGCGAAAAAACTTATGCTGAATATGTGACTCGGGCGATAATGTCTTTTTTTGGCCCCCACTGTAAGTCGTAGATAAACCTGGTGCTAACGTTTTGTCTTGTTCGCTGTGGATGTTGGGGCGTGTCAGAGGGCTGGGTCTGGTGCGGCACCAGTCCCTAGTTCATCTGTTGCTGCGCTTGCCACTTACAACAGTTAGGGTGGGCGCGAACACGGGCGATGCCACGAGCCAGGCCAGCACCTCCCCCCCCCCCCCGCCCCCCGGACAGCCTTAGTATCCACAGGTACGAAGATTAGTTGTGGCTTGATATAGCGAATAAACTCTCTGGCGTCGCCTACTCTCTAAAACCACCGGCTCCCGAGGCGGCTCAAGCATAGAGCACAAACAGTCAGGGCATTCAATTGCCAACAGCGCTCATTCTAATAAGACGCAACACTGACTGACTGCGTGTTGGGACAACATTTCACCCCTTCCCACCTCCCCCCACAACAGCACCACTAATAACTACCCAATTAAATACCCAGACTGCGCTGATACGATTTTCGTCTGGGGCGGCTGCGTTCGTGTCCATAGGACTGCAAAGCTGTTGCAAGTAAGCTCGTTACCGCGCATCGCACGGCGTCGACGTGCCTCATTGTGAAGTCTGACCGCTGCTTTCCGCGGGTTTCAGGATACTGTCAACCGCAGAGCCTTCCTCCTTCCGTTTTCTTTCCTCCTTCCTTCTTTTTCTTCCTTCTTCCCTCATCCTTCTTCCTTATTTGTTCTTCCCCTAAATGCTCGATCAGAAGATGCGATGACAAAAGACACATCTGCAGACATCACAGCGAGGGGGCATCCGTGACAAATGTCTTGTAACCCTTTCCGCGTACATAGCTCACCTACTTCAAGGTATAAAGTTTCTCTGATACTTCTGCCCTTTCTCCTGAAGCGGGAAAGTAGTGTCGTGGGCTCGTCTTTCCGGGATACATCATGTAGGGGCGTGTGGTATGTCTTCGCTAAGATAAGGTTAATGGCACTGTGCTTTACAGGGTAATAAACGTCGGATTGCTGCAGCATGAGATGCACTGCACTTTTGTCTCTTTTGTTGGCCAGCTTCGCTGCAGCCTTCGAGCAAGATTTCACCTGTTGAGGTTCCACCAGGAAAATTTCAGTGCTTCTTCCAACCCGTCTGACGTTACTAAATATAAGTTCTCTTGAAATCGGACTATCAGGTTTAGTAAATTTTGTTATACTATTATAAACACTATTTAACTATTCATTTCTCTTCAGTACCGATATATTTCTTTTTAATGCCACTTCTTACTGCTTCCTTCAGGTGGTGGATGGCGGTGACCTTAACATTAACTTCATGATTTTACTAGGAGCTAACGTACTAATTCAAGATAACATGAAAGTTGATGGAGCTCACAGGTATATTTTGTCGTTCTTTTTCCTTTTCTTATACGAGGATGAAAGAATGAAGCCTTTGTCGTCAGTACAGTGAGTTATAGGGTCAGTCCATGTACAAGTAGATTTTTTTTAATATCTTCGTGACATATTACCATCTCTAGAAAGATAAAACACTAGATATGTCCTGGCGCAAAAAGGCCGATCCGGGATGTGCCCCGAGTCGCGCGCAGGTAAAGCACGGTAACTTGCGCCTCCACGCACCGATCGACATTCATAAGAGGTGCTATGAGCTTGGGAACAAAAGGCACCATGTAAGCCTGCCGTGTGGGAAGCGGTGCATGTAAGAGAAGCTTGTTGTGTGGTCGGCAACTAGAAGTGAATAAATTTTGCCGCCAGAAAGCAGGAAGAAGCGCTATGGTGCGGAGAAGGTGAAAACGCAAATTTCCTATATTTAAAAATAGTTTCGCATCTCTATTTTGGTTAGAGGCTCTCTTACCCAACATTTGGTAGCTCTCACTAGCCATAGTCTTAAATGTGGCCCATTCTTGACGGGGCTCGCCCTATCCCCCGGATAACTCAAGGGCTAGTTATGTAAAAGAATATACTCATATATTATCGAGCAAAATGAGCCACTTCATCAAAAACGTCGCCTAAATCCCCCGGATACTCCAAAGGGGTTTATGTAAAGATATACTCATTTTATGGGAAATGAATGGGCCACTCATCAAACCATCTTCTTTCCACGTGCAATGAGGAGTACCTTCAAAACTGCTCCTGAAAAGTCGAACAAATGAGCGGAAACACATTTTCCATCCTTACCGTTATTTTATTTTACAGTCCTCGAGCAAAGACATGAATTTTTGTTGAATATTGTTGGCCAGTTACGCCTCGCTAGTCATGTTCTCCCTCATCGCGATAGACTAGCTCGCTTGTTTCTCAACCTGCGGCTATTCTCAACTATCATTTTCCTTGAAAATTGCCGTCGTATTAGAGTGCGAGGGGGATTGGAACTTGCGAGTAGCAATCAGAAGTGGTGTAGTCGAAGAGTCACCAACCAATTGGAGCAAACACTGAATACCAGCTAGAGAAGCATAACGCACGACGGAAACACGGGAATTATCCATTTAAGAAGGATTACCCATGGCAAAGCAAGGAACTTCTTTCCAGCAGTAGTCACAGACTCCCTCGTTTGTTTATCACGACGGTTGATACGCCAATCGGTCTGGGAGACGAGGCAAAGAATTGTAAATTTGCCAGGCTTCGCCAGCGGCGCTGGCTATGAGGCGGCGATGTTCAAATCCAATTGGTAATATGGCACTAACCGCATTGGCAATTGGAGCGTATTATCATGTAGGCAAAGGACATACTTATCGCATCTATATTTTAGTCATACAATTGTCTATGCCACCTGAAATCGTCATCGTTAGGAACAGGACGCGACGTCGCACGCGAACGCGCCCACTGCGGGATGGCGATTACGATTGTCTTGCCACATACACCCTGGTCTAGAGGTCGGATAATCGACAACGTGGACTGTTGATAAGATTATCTTAATCGATACGAATTCAATCATTCGGCGAGTTTCGAATCTCCCCCTTTATGCCAAGGTAACGGCTCGAAGCGTGAGGCCCTTAATGTAGCTATGGAGAACCCGGCGTGGCGGTACATTGGGCTTGTTACTTGAACGTTAGCAAGATGGTCGTTTCGTGAAGTTGTGAATTCTCGTTTCCTCGAATTTTCAGCTTCCACTCCTCGATTCAGGGCGACATTGCCTTCCCTTTTCATGTGGTCTATATGGCTGTGGTTGATCTGTTTCGTATTTGGTTTTCTTCCTAGAAACTATTTTCTCTAATGATGATTTTGTAGGATGGATCTTCAACTCAGTGGAGACTATCAGTTTTGTTTTGACAACTCGTTCAGTTATCAGTCTCGTAAGGTTTGTTCTAGTTCCTTTACCTTTTCCTTGAGTATCTTCTAAATGTTAACATCTGAATTGTCTCAAGAGGCATGCAGTATTATAGCACCATATACCATTCACTGCCCCACTCTTCGAAGCTCAGGCCGCATGATCGAAAATTCTCGCTAGGATAGATTTTGCGAAAACCATGTCGCCTTGGTAATCTGATTCCTGAACACGAACGTCACCTTGCTTGAGGCAAAAACGTCTGGCCCATGTGCCTGTCAAATGCTTTCGCGACAAGCGATCGAGATATAATCTAGCTCCTGAGGGCGAAGAGGCGTGTCAAGCGCTGTTGTTGAAGCGAGCAAGTGACAAGACTGTGTTCGTATCACTTGTATTCTACTAACTGTGGTCGCGTAGCCACTTCAGCAACTCGCAGAGAACGAGCTTGGCACCGTGGCACTCATGCCCTGACACGCCCCTTCATCCGCAGCGAATTAGAGTAAGTTGGTTTTCTGATGGTTAAGGTACATTTTGTGGGTTGAGTAAATTCGAATTAAGTAGATGGCGTTCGTGTTGGAAGCTTGATCCTCGTCGAATCTTGCTATGAAAATCCGCTCTCAGTTTTGAAGAGTAGGACAGTGAAGGGTAAACAAGGCCAGATTTACTTGTTATTAACCCTTTACAGGTAGTTTTCTTCGAAGTTTTCCTTCTGAATGAACAAGGTCAGTTAGATCAGCTGGATTACTCGAGGACGGCTCAACACGATGTCGATCTTGAGAAAAAGATGGAGGAGTTAGGCGTCACTGTAACAGGATTCCGTGTAAGTTTTGTTTCACTCCGTATTTCCACAGCTCGGCTCAATACACTTTGCCGCGCATAGTCGCATGATATGCCGCGAGCGGCGGCGCGACACACGATTGTTTTGTCCGTCTCCCTGCAGCATACACTTCATCCACGTGATTTTTTTCTTTCGTTCTTTATTTCTGTTACACAGCGGTTTGAATGGGTGAAATTGCTACCTTATCTCTATTTCTTTTTGCCTATGCTCACTTTCTGATAGCATGACCCCATAAGACCGCGTTCATACTTTCCGACTGAGGAGATTCGGCGATTTGAGAGACTCGGCATTTCGAGAGATTGCGCGACCGGGAAGGCATAGTTATCGGTATAGCGATTGAGGAGAATCGGCGGTCCGGCGTTTTGTGCGATTGCGCGGCAACGGAGTGGATGGGTATCGATCGGCGCTGTATCGTCAGATCACCGAAATCGCGAGCGACGGTGGCAGGTCGCTGTACGACGTAGGTGAGTCATTAGGAGCAGCGATCGATGTCCATATTTTTGCACGCTATTGCCTCAAAACGCCCAATTGCAGAGCGTACACCCATTGAATCTCCTCGACGTGCAACCTCGGAACACGCGAAGTTGCAAGGTGCGGAAGGGTCCCTTCATGGTCAATACTAAGAAGGCAGCTAAGTAAAAACGGCCTGTGGACAATCGTCCTAATTTGATTACTGTTGTTGATCGGGTTTTCGTGTTAACAGCATTTTCTTTCTTATCAGCGTCTATCGGTAATTTTTGCCAGGAAACTCGGGTCGGAATGAATATAAAGTCCAACGCTCAACAAGATCGAGTACCATCAGGTATTTTCTCTTCTTTTCTCCTGTGGGTTGAGAAGGCATAAGGATAACGTCTCGTCAAGATCTCTGTGAGAGAATACATTAGTTTTAGTTTAACTTTTTTCACTTATTCAGCTCTTCCTTCGAAGGCATGAGGCCCCGAATCGTGCAGTGATGATGCTAATTTTGGATCGCAGTGAAGCGTTCTGGAGCTGTACGCATGACGCTCGTCTATGCTAGCGTTGTAGCAGCTGACAGGTAATTTAGTCATTACATTAGGGTTATCGGGGCGGGGAGCGATGAACTTTAGATATCCTACAAATTATCATCTTCTATCTCTACTTCTTATTAGATGGTATTGGTACGCTTTAGCTTAGAATGTGGCGTAGTTGCTGCTAATCTTGCGTGGCTCAGAAATGAACGTGTGTGGGTAATTGAGGGTGGTGGAGGATAAGGCGAAGCACATGCGGCGGGATTCGCGACCCTTGGCCCATGAATGGCACTAACGTAGTTGGGGAAGGGGATGGCGGCCACTATTATCGTGCCATTGTAATCCTTCCCTAAAAGCTTAGGGCTCTAAAATTGCAATAAACAAGCTGGCCATACGTCCCAATTACAGCAATTGCATTCACGTGCCATAATTTTTTCAAGCAGCTTATCAGCTAAGTAGAACTAGATGTCGGAGCATCTGTGAATGGCGCTCACGTAGTATTGAAGGGGGTGGAACCATTCGGCAATGCTCTTGCATCCCTTCCCCAAAAAGGCTTAGGCTCAGAGCGCAGACAAATAAAGTCGCCGAAGGACAGTTCCGCAGAGAAGATATAGTGTGCGCTAAGTCTAAACCTCCATTAGGGAAAGGGATACCGGTGCTGGAGGGTGGTTCCATTCCACCTCCTCCAACTTCGTTAGCGCCCTGTGAATCGTAAGTTTCGGGGTAAGGTTAGAGACAATGCTGTGTTTTTCGTTATTTTTTCACTCTCTGATGATCAAAAGTCATAAATGCGTTTTTACTTCAGGTCTTCCTTATAAGGAGCTTATTCGAAGACAACTCTAAAGTTGGACGACTTCTGAGAAAAGGAAAAAGTAGTTACTAATTATAAGGACTTGTTAATTTATTGATTTGATATTTTTGTCATGTTTTATGTGTTCATTGTGTTGTTTCAATTATTCATTCGTTGTATTGAAGCATAATAGACGGTTTTACTTGCTTCTCACGGTTCTCATCTTGTTAGCTAATCGTTTGTGCAATGTTTTCTGTGAAGGATTTTTGTTCTCTTTTTATTTATTGGATGACTGTGTGCCTAGAATCCGGATGAACATTCTATTACGTCGTTGTGTTGCTGTGTTAAAAAAGGTTCATTGTGCCTTCTGCTTCTGCAGTATTGAATTAATGTCTTTGACTTCCCATTACAGAAAGCTTTCGTTTAGACTGCGTTCATACTTTGCGACTGAGGAGATTCAGCGACTTGAGGGACTTGGCGATGGGCATCAATCTCGGAGATTGAGCAATCCGAGTGTCCGGCAATCGCTCGCCAATCCAGTGGACTGGTATCGAGCGCCGCCGGTCTCTAGCGATTGCGAACATTCGGTGATACCCATTTCAGCGACTCGAAGATCTCCTCAGACGCCGGATCGCTCAATCTGTCAAAGCGCCGGGTCGTTCAGCCTCCGCAGTACCCAAGTCGATTCCTGCACGTTCCTCATCGCAAAATTTCTCAAATCGCCGAATATCCTCAGTCGCAAAGTATGAACGCAGTTAAGAACGAAGTCATGAGATAGAAACGTGGGTAATATAGGCATGCAGTGTACAGTACGTCTTATTTATTGTTTCAGACTACTTCTCATATGCAAACAGTCCTCTCTCTAATAGTAGTATCGTTTATTTTTATTCCCTTATGCTTAGCTCTTATTAGAGAAGATGAAATCTATCTTACCTTTGAAGTGCCGTCTGGAAAGGTATGGGATGTCAGTGGTTCGTATGTTGTCACGCCTACACTTTCTATTTTCAGACGGAATGCTTCTATGTGCCAATTTTGAAACCGGAATATAGAGCTTTGGAATTTAGCTACTCGGTAGGTCATTTTTTGGTGTTTGATTCATATTGTAATGCACCTAAGCCAAGATGCACAGTTTTGAAGTTGATGTGGGACTGCGCTCATACTTTGCCTCAACGTTTTAAGTGTGCGCCAGCGTACGCTGGATCGATACCCTTACATTCCTCGTCGCTGAAAACGCTAGCTTACGTTGGCTTTCTAATTCGGCTATCTATCTAATTGATCCTAGTTCCCATACACTAGCCCAAGGTTGCGCCAGCTACGCCAGCACCAGTAACTAGGAAAGCATAGGTATAGATATAGGTACACCAGCGCATAGCACCGTTTCGAGCGACTATGAAAGTATAGATGTTGATCTAGTGCATGGCAGCGTTTTCGCGGGCACTTTGAGCTTGAGCAAAATTGCCCGCGGAAACGCTGGCGTACAATGGCATACGCTAGTGGACGCCAGAAGGCCAGATCCGTATCCATGCTATTCGCTCGAAACGCTGCTGTACGCTGGCGTACGCTTACGGCAAGGTATGAACGCAGAACGTAACCATCTATACTACATCAGCGCCACACTGTCTTTGGAACGAATCACCTTATCAACCTTGAACCCTGACGACGCTCTCACTCTTAAGACTGCGTTCACACTTACGACCAGGAGAATAGGAGAAAACGCGTCAAAGGAAAGCTTAAGTATCGATTTGAGGAATTGGGAGAAAAAGAGAATCGGCCAAGTGCGAATAGGGGGAATGCACGCCACACTATTGAATGAGGGAAGGTAGGCTCCTACTATCCCTTTGCTAACGACCAAAGCTGACCGATTCTTAAGCTTTGGCGCGCATTCCCTATTCGCACTTCGCCAATTCTCCTAACCTCCCATTTCATCAGATCGATACTTAATCTTCCGTTTGGCACACATTCTCCTTTTGTGCAGTGTCCAAAATATGAACTGCTCCAATGGAAATGCATAGTTACTTTGTCAAGTTCCTGACCGTTAGCCTATTTTCCTTAAATAGAGATTGATTGATAAGAGAAGATCCGTTGTTTAGATGTTTAGTGATCCAATTACCCACTTTTCACAGTTTAGCAATCTCAGAAATCAATGTTTCAGGTATCGCGAGGAAATAGGGATATCTCGCTTACTATTCGTGATCCAAGGGATGTAGAAGTTGTTGCAGATGAGAGGACTAAGCATCATTTCCATCGGTGAATACCTTATAGTCACTGCTTCCATTTTCTTCCATCATGGTCACGTTTCATTTGCTCGTTTATCATTTTACAGCCAGAGTAGTCGGCGCAGTTACGCTTGGGAGAGGAAAAGTTTTGTAAAGTCTTGTAAAGCCGTCGCGAGTTTCATTTTTCGAGCAGTCTTTGCACAAATCGACTCATCCATCAGGGCTCCTTCCCTTAGGCTTAACGAAGAACCCTCGAGCTGGATAACAACAGTTTCTCCGTATTTCCTAACGCCATATCCCTTAAAAATAGGAGAAATGGGACGGAAGTGAAGCGCGCTCCATCTAGCTCTACCAGAGTTTACAGGTCTCTGTGAATGGGCCCCGACACACTGACAGTGAGCAAATAGCCTCCCCCACCTCATCAAAGCTGAACTGCGAACAAACGCCATCTAACTGAACTGCGAAATTTCAATTGCATCGTAGGGAGGGGTGTTTCTTGTTTGCCAGTTTATTTTGCTATAGCCTGTTGAATTAGACCTGAATTAGAAGTGGGACCTGTACACTATTTTCCAGTCTGCATTAAGCTCCCGCTACTGCATGGTTTCACAGGAATTTATAGGTTTCCTCAATAGGCATTGGCGTTGAGTGATCAGAACCAGATAAATGCCATCACAAAGACGAACTGCGTCAAATTTTCATATCGCGAAGTTACAGCCCAAATTTTACTTTTAGTTCTTCTTTTTGACATACGCCATGAAAGCTTGCTGCCACAAAAACCTCGAAAACTATAGCTTCATTCTGATAGTTTCCGTCGATTTCCATTTTCTTTCATTTTCTATACGTCAAAAAATGGCTGCTCACTCCGTGCATGATCACACGGCATCTTTTTTTTGCGTGGATATCTAGCAGCAACGGATCTTACTTAAGTAGGAAAGAGTCCCCTGCCCCACCCTGCCCTAAGTCTCAGAAGGCATAAATTACAAAAGCGAGAGCATTTGAAATCGACCACATATTTTATTATATTTCTTTGAAATATCTTATTTTCACTTCAGCATAGTTATTGCCGATTCTGACAGTTCGAAAGGGGACTATTCTGTTTGCCTGGATAACTCCTTTAGCTATGATAGCAAAGCGGTATGTTTGTTTTGGAACGCTTTCGAATAGTAAGATGGGGCATTTTCACGGAATTTCCACGTTCAGGTCAGCATATCTTTGCATTTACTGGATGCGAAAGGAGATTACGTGAGAAACATGTCAGATTTAAAAGCCGACGAACAAATGAAGATCACTGTTGATGTGTTTGAGGTAATTCTCAGAGAATTTTATTAATTTAGTAGGGTTAATTTTAGTAAGGTTTTTTCCATCATATTCGATCCCTTGTTTAGGCTTCTACGAATCGTTTGATGACTAATATCGATGCAGCTGACAGACAGTTAGTGCAAATACGAGTTGTTAGCAATATAGTTAGTATTGTTTCGTTCCTTATTCACGACGCATTTTGTAGGGCCCTATCAGGTTTCATAGCGGTTTCATGGTCAACGAACCCTGAATCTTTCAGGACCGCTCAATTGCCGAGCAAAATTTCGAGAGAGTGAATTGGTACGGGACTTTGAACACATGCATAATTCTCATAGCAGCTGTGACGCAGGTACTTAATCTCATAGTTTTTATTACAATTCCTTCGCCTAAGAATTAGGAGCGTATGCATCTGGAGGGGGCTACAGGCTCCGATCTGTTTATTGCATGAAAAGCACCATTGCGGAGATATCATTTTACTGGGGAAGGGGCGATTTTCCAGGCTTGACGAGCCTCTGGCAGTCTGTGCAAGCAAAAGAGCGCAGGCGAGAG